ACTTCTGGAACCCCACCCAGAATCTCCCAGAATTCCACCCCGAATCTCCCAGGGATCCCCCAGAATTCCACCCAGAATCTCCCCAGATTCCCCCAGAATTCCACCCAGAATCTCCCCAGATTCCCTCGGAATTCCATCCCAGAATCATCCCAGATTCCCCCAGAATTCCCCCATAACTCCAACCCATTCTCCCCCAGGATCCCTACATACAAGCCCGGACACCCAATACAACCCACCCCGCCAATGTCGCTCTTTTTCAAGACCCCCATCGATATCGAGATCCGCCTCGACGGCGAAAGCGCCCGCCGCCACGTGGACGTGCGGTCGGCCCAGGGCCGCATGGACTCGCTCCCGCTTTATGCCGACGGCGAGTCCGTGAAAGGCGAGGTCTCCGTGCGCACGCGCGAGGGCAAGCGCTTGGAGCACGTGGGCATCAAGGTCCAGCTCTTGGGCTCCATCGCGCTGTCGCTGGACGTGGTCTCCAGCTCGGACTTCCTCTCGCTCGCCACGGAGTTGGCCGCGCCAGACACGTTGGCTCGTGCAGAGACGTACCCTTTCGAGTTCAAGAACGTCGAGAAGCCGCACGAGAGCTACCGAGGCCTCAACGTGAGCTTGCGCTACTACCTCCGCGTGGTGGTGTCGCGCCGCAACAAGGCCGAGATCACCCGCGACAAGGAGCTCTGGGTGCACCAGTACTCGGCGCCGGCGCCGCAGACGGGGCCGCAGCTGCCGACAGTGAAGACGGGGCCGCAGCTGCAGACCGTGAAGACGGGGCCGCAGCTGCTGACCGGGAAGATGGGGCCGCAGCTGCTGACCGTGAAGATGGGGCCGCAGCTGCTGACCGTGAAGATGGACGTCGGCATCGAGCACTGCTTGCACATCGAGTTCGAGTACCTGAAGTCGCGGTTTCTGTTGAATGAGGTTCTTGTCGGGCGCATCTACTTCCTCCTCGTGCGGCTCAAGATCAAGCACATGGAGATCTCGCTCATCCGCCGCGAGTCCGTGGGCTCCGCGCCGAAGCAGGTTGTCCACAGCGAGACCTTGGTCAAGTTCGAGATCATGGACGGCGCGCCGGTCAAGGGCGAGAGCATTCCCATCCGGTTGTTTTTGGGCGGCTACAACTTGACGCCCACCTACAAGGACGTCAACAAGAAGTTCTCGACCCGCACCTACTTGTCTCTCGTGTTGATTGATGAGGACGGCCGCCGCTACTTCAAGCAGAGCGAGATCGTGTTGTACAGAGAGGAGTAACCACAACTTGAAGGCAGGGAAGCTGCGGCCAAGTAGATATGTGTTGAGAGCGAGGGGCACGTCTCGTGCGTGAATTCTGGGTTCGCATGCCGAGCTGCGGCTGGGGAGTGACACCATCCAAACGACGACACGGTGGGAGTCACCAACCTTTCCCCAGGGGCTCGAAGCCACACAACGGGATGGAGCCTCGGGCTCATCCCGGTTTCCAAGAAGCGAAATGCTTGAACGCCCCATCGAAAGACCAATACATCCAATATGTGCTTCGCACGCACCCGCGACCCAGACCTACCGGATGAGAAGACCCACGGCCCTCTGTAGTGGTTGAATTCGGGCCACAAACGTTTGAGTATACCTGAAAGCACTGGGGCCACCATAGCCTTTCCCGCTCCCCTCCAACAAGTCGTGCACCGACAGCTTTGTCACGCTCCGACGGCTGACCAATCAAAGACCCACGGGTGCCAGACCAGACTGAAGCCGACAGATCCTCCTTGGGCATACTCGAATCGTTCGACAGCCAGCATTCACCATTTGCACCACACACCACAGTCTCGCCTTATCTTCCCATGTCAGCTGAAAACCTACGAAATGAACCCGAGTCCAAGTCAAACTACCAGTCGGTGTCTCTTTCGACCGCCGGAATGAGAGCGCTCATCTTTCAGCTCCAGTCCATTTATCTTCGTGCCCCCCTCAAATTATTCCGCCCCTCTCGATTCGACTACATGATCTACGTGCGTGAACAGGCCAACAAGCACACGGAAATTTTCTCCAAGCCCTACAAATTCCGCACCCATTCCAGCTTGGGTATGCTAATAAGCGTGATGAGGCGCGAGGGCTGGCGGTTCATTCCTGACAATGTCTTGCCCCCACTACTAGCAAACTCAGCCACAGGCGTTATTCTATATGGCACTTATCTAGGTGCCCTAGATATGTTCAGTAGTCACAGCGGCCCCAAGACAGACTTTGCATACTCTCCAGTTGACACCTGGCGTGCGGGGTTCCTCGCTGGAGCAATGCAGTCATTGGCTGCGGCTCCAATCGACGCAATATACTCCCGACTGACCACTGCAGAAATGCTTTCTGGTAAGCATGAGAACCTATGGAAGTATGGTGCACACAAACTCAAGGAAATCGGGTTGGTTGGTGTTTTCGCAGGCTATGCGTTTTCAATAGTGAAAGAGAGCTTTGGATTCGCCTTTTATTTCCTGACTTTCGAGCTCATCAAAACACGTGGATACAACTTGACCTACCGTGTCATCTCGACGTACAGGAATTTCAAGGTCACATTGAGAGATAAGCTTTCTTTCCTAAGTTCGCTGGAACCAAAAGTGAACTCGGCTCAGATCAAAAAGGAACAATCGAGGCTGACAAAGATTCTCAAATCGTCTTTCGTTTTACTAGCAGGCGCATCTGCTGCTTTCTCCCTTCTTGCCGTGCAATACCCGCTCACCAAGGTGCAAAAAATCCACTACAATCGACTTGAAGCACTCGACATCTACAGCTCGTCAGTGCATCCGCTGAAGAAACGGCCTTTTGTGAAAGTTTACTGGAACTCGTATCTCGACACCTTCCAGCAAGTGATGAAGAACAAGCAGACTTCTAGAATGTCGTGGTTCCAGCTCGCCTACAAAGGGTTCGCGCGCAACGCTCTCACCACAATCCCGGCTACGTCCGTCGGCCTATTGATCTTCGAGATCATGAGAACTAGATTGGCTGACGACTTTGAAGAAGCTGGCCCATTAGAATAACACTTGTCTATAGTTGTATGGATGAAAGTAGGACTTAGTGGGACTGCTTCAGGTACGAGCCTTCTCGTACGCTTCCCAGCCTGCCTTTCTGTATCTCTCTCCTTCAATGCTGGGGTCTCTACCTTTGCCAAACAAGCCTCTGCCAACGATGATGATATCCGTGCCGGTGGCAATGACTTCGTCAACGGTTCTGTACTGCTGGCCCAAGGCATCGCCTTTGTCGTCCAAGCCGACGCCGGGAGTCATGGTGAGCCAGTCAAAGCCCTCGGCGGCGCCTCCCATATCCCTCTGGGCAATAAAGCCGATGACAAAGTCCTTGTCTGTTTTGGCAATTTCGACCGTTTTGTTCGTGTATTCACCATATGCCAACGAGCCCTTCGACGAAAGCTCGGCCAACATCAAGAGGCCTCTAGGCTCGGAAGTGGATTCGGCCGCAGCCTCCTTTAAACCCTGCACAATGCCTGCTCCGGTGATACCGTGGGCATTGGTGATGTCTGCCCATTTGGCGATCTGGTAGACTCCTCCAGAATACTGCTTCTTGACTGTGTTCCCGATATCCGCAAACTTGCGGTCCTCGAAAATCATGAACTTGTGTTCTTTGGAAAGCTTCAACAAAGGAACAATCGTGCCCTCGTACGAGAAGTCGTCGATGATGTCGATATGTGTTTTCACGAGACAGATGAATGGGGCCAATTTTTCAATGAGGCTCAAGAACTCTTTGGTGGTGCTGACGTCTACAGATGCACACAAGTTTGATTTTTTTTCCTCCATGAGGCGCAATAGTCTTGCCGCTACCGGCGACGCATGCTTCTCTGCCCTTTGGGAATAAGTTTCAGGCATTTTTTGAGTCAATGGAAGCGAAATATACCAATTGCAGATGCAAGACTTTTTCTTCTTCATTGGAGTCACGTGATGCGCGAGAGGTCTTATCGCTTGAACTGAGAGGATGGGGTTCGAGGTTGCAAAATTATCTTTCCTATCACAAAATGGTCAGCGCTTTATTGTTTCTGAAATTCTCGAAAAACTTTTTGTGATATTACTCATAATAAAATAGTTACAAGTGATCAGAAGTGTGGCATGTTTATGTATATATAACACAGATTGCTTAATACTATAACAGTGAATGAACTAGATGTATACGTTATTTCGCGACTACTCCGAAAGTAATAAAAATTAACTGTTTGGTTTGGTATTTTTGAGTTGTTATTTAGAATTGGTCATCCAGGTGTCTAAGATAATTGTTCATTCGCTGTAGGCTGTTTGTTCTCGATTGGTATGTAGTTTATAATATTGGACCCGAGAAGAACTGAATGCTTTTCAGAACATATAATCACCACGATCGTGTCACGCGCCTGAGAAGCAAACAGACTGAGACAGAAAGTTATTTGCTTTTGATTTTTATTCATTCTGGCTTGATTCTATCTAGATGGATATTTTTGATAAGTTTGACAACCATGGAAACATACCAAAACAACATTGCTAGACACGCCGATATCATCTGTCTAAATCGCTGTCTGCTATTTGAATCTGAGCCACCAATGTCTCACTTCAAAACTTTAAGAGCCATCGAGAGCGACAGACCCACTTGACAATCTTGTAGCGTCCAATTGAAAGAATAAAGAAATTTCCGAAAGAGCCAGGAAAGATTCAATCAATGTCATCGAGCGTCCAACTTTGACAACCCCCTCTAAGAATAATGCTTAGTTCATGAGAAAAATACATGATCGTACTATGGATTGGGCTTGTGCGCAACCTCTTCCTGAAGGCCAGGGAACAATTTGTTAAGGACTGTCCATGTGTCCTGCCACAAAGCCTCCTTGTCGACGGTTAGGAAATCGTGCTGCAACACCAAAATCATATTTTTCATCACCTCAAGACTAGGCTCTTTGACTTCGGGAGATAGTTCATTAATTCCAGCAAAATTTTTGATTAATCTGCGCCACGTATTCTCCGCAACATCTGCTGGTAGCAGTGGGTAAAACCTCAAGAAACTTTTACTTCCCAAGTTTAAGACTTGCAGGTGCGTTTCCCCAAATCCCCCAGTATCGGTTTCGAGAGTTTCTTTCTTCTGCAACTCCGTTAGTAAGGGAAAAATACCATACTCGAAGAGACCTTCTGCCGTGTAATTTTCCGTCAATTGACCCGAAGAGATTGTGTTTTGTAAGATTCGGAGGGCATGACTCCTGATTTCACGACAAGGATTGAAACATTGATGAGCCAATGCCTGGACTAATGGATATGTCAATTGGTGCTGTGAAGAACTCAACTCGCCTGTCAAAGAAACGCTCCGCTTGGAAATCAGGATGAGCTCCTTATTGGAGTGTATTTCTTCGTCGCTATCGCGCACATTCTGGTCCTGCTCATACTGTGCACCAATGGCTCCCAACGAAGAGACTTCATCTAGGACACCTAATATTGGCAAATAGTTTTCGTTGCTGATGTTTTCCGACGACTGTCGGACTACTGATTCTGTATAAGTCAAGATATCGTTTGAGAATGCTTTCACAGAACCCAAAGCTCTAAGCAAGTTCCAGAATGGTTCATTCCAAAAAATGCTTCTCGCGTGGCTTTCATTGTCAACCAAAGAAAAAAGCGGCTGTACCAATGAGGATCCATGTTTTGAGAGGGTTTGTTGCTCAAACGCAAGAATATTCTGGATAATCTTGGTGACTTGATCTTGGTGATTCTCTTTACTCTTTCTGACAAGCAAGAAAAAGTATGTGCTGAGTCGGATAGACCCCAGCTTAGTCAAATGAGCAGATTCAAGATACTCGATGAGACGACGAGTTACCAATTCAATTGCGTCATCATCTTCAGTGATCAAAGTGAAACATACCATGATTTCAAACATGAAGAGAACTTCAGCTTCGAAGTATCTTTTGATCTCCATAGAGTATTTGGGAAGGTTGAGTGATAAAAGCTGCACAAAAAACTTCATTTGTCCTTTCTCACCTTTAGAAACAACGTCAAAAATTGCGGGAATATTGAGCGATTGAACACAATCAATTGTCGAGAGGGTTGATTCAATTTCTTGATCCGAGGGTTCAGGAGCCTCGTCCGAATAGCTCTTCAAGAACGAAGAAAATGTTGAGAGCAAACCGCTTTCTTTTAATGGCTTGACCTTCTGAATAACAAAGCTTGGTTTGACCTTGGTTAATGGTGGAAGCTTTAACCTTTTTTGAAAGTCACCAAACAAATTCGGTTCAATCAAGCAATTTTCGAATAAGTTCAAAATCAAACGAATGACTGAATTCCAGGAGTCTGAGACTCTGCAATTAGGCTTCTTGATCAATCTGAAAAGAACCACAGTCGAAAGTTGAGCCTTGAAGTCTTTACCAAAATAAACTGAAAGCTCACTGACAGTTATTGGGTCAGGCTTTTGTTCTATTTTGAGTTGAGTGATGGGAATTTCAACTCGGAACTGGTCATCCTCTGGGGATTTGAGGGTGGAGTCGTGGCATAAAGTAGTAAGTTTGGATAACAGGTTAATCATATGATTCGCTGCGGGCTCCAAATTGTAAATTATGCAGATATTTGCACATTTATCAATGGAAGACATCAACTTTGTAATAATGCTGTCATCAGATGCCTCCTTGAAAACCTGAATTAAGGTGCTAACAACTTTCTTCACAACAGACTCGAATAAAAGCTTGTCAAAGTCACATAGAGTGTCGGAGTCGAAGTCATCAACAGAGTTTCCATGATCTCTGGCCCAGTTAGACTGTGATGATATGAGATTATGCCAGACATCGTCAAACCATTTGTCGGTTCCGTGATGTTCCTCTGGCATTATAATTTCTCGATCCCTGATCGAATTATAGATACACACCATGTACCATTCCGGGAAATCTTTTCCATTGTAGACGCCTTTAAGATTCCTGCGGTAAGCTTCAAGATCCATCAGTTTCTTGACCTGTGGATTGTGTAAATCCGTGTTGAGCATAATTATGGAATATGACAAGATGAAAACAGCATCGCGGTCGGGTAAAACAGGCTCTCTGTCAGGATGTTCGTCAGGAGCAACGTTGTTTTCGGTTGTTTGAGAGGCCACAAAAGCCTCTGCGAAAAGCTCAACAATGCGTTCAATCTGCTGAGATTCACCAGGTAGCCTGAACGATTTGAGCATAATTCTCAATCCTTCATCAACACGTAGTCCACCAAAATCAAATAAGAGCATAAATTCTTTTAGGATTTCTGAGTTTGTTGGCTTAGCTAAGAACTCTCCCAAAACTTTCTTATTGAGCCTGGCTGATTTCTGGAAAAAGAATTGCGCCATTTCCACTGCGTCGTTAGCATCGTTTATAAACTTTTCTTCGACAAGAGCAACAATTCCCTTCTTTGGGTTCTCGTTGAAGAGTTCAGTGCATTTTATGAACGAGTTTTTTTGCAATTTATTGGCAATCAACTGGTGTTTCCCACTGCAGTTTGCCCTATGTGAAGGCAAGGACTTGGCGCGTGTGTTGATCCCCGAAACAAAAGAGAGAATACCTTCCAAACAGATTGGGGGCACATTATCAGTCGTTGTGATAGCACTTTCTGGAAGAGCAAGTTCGCATAAGAAGTCTACGAAAGTGTTTGCTAGGTCCGATTTTTCAGAGTCACAGTCATATTCGACGAATAACTGGGCAAAAAACTGGGGCGATCGCGTCCAAAGGAAAGATAAAGACTCCACGATGAGCTCCTTAGAGATCGGACCCCGAAACGAGATGGAAGTTGCGTTGCCCTTGATGTTCTTATCGATAGTGGACTTGTTAGGTAAGAGCGATTTGAAAATGAGGTTAAGCGTCAATTCTATCTGCGCCTTGAGGTTGTTGTTGAGCACAACGGCCATGGTGCAGAACAAACGAAGTGCTTCCAGCAAAAGAGGAACGGAATCTGTGGAGGAGATAATCTGCAGTACGTCTTTCGATACTGGATCAGCCAACAAAGCCATGAGTGAAGGATGGCGGGGAATCTGGTCGCCGGCGACTTCGACGGCGATGTTGATGAGCGACAATGCGAAGACACGAGAGGACTCCATGTGTTGGTACTGATTCGCAGGAGAGCTCATGGAGATGAGTAGCCCCAAAAACTCATTGATACACTGTATGTCGAACTGCTCCAGCTCATGAATATCATTTACGGGTATTTTGCGCGGCGATAGCGGCGCCAAATTCACAGTGTCGGCCGCAAGCAGCTCTTCTGAGCCACGATTTGGGCTGGTTTGAGAAATCTCATGTGTTTGATCAGCAGTGTGATCATGTGAATGCTCCACAGTGTCCAGGTCAGGGGCAGTCACATGCAAGGGCCCCAGGAGGTCGACGAAGTTCGGCGCCATGTCCTCGCCGTTAGACGGTTCTGGCTCGAGTTCGCGCACACGCAGAAAAATACGGACAGTCATGGCAGCTGTGGCCATTTCTGCCGCGCGACGGAGAACTTCGCTGCGGCGCTTGTTGCATGCCAAAGACACGCAGGTTTGGATGACCTCTGAAACCACAGAGTTGGATAAGAGTGAAGAGAGTGGACCAACAACAATTGTCTCCAAAAGCCGCAAGACCTTGAGGAGAATGGCATCGTCGCGGTTTTGATCGGAGGCTTCGAAGCGGCAACGCGTCAAGGATGTTGTCAACTGGCCAAGCAGTGCAGCAGCATTGCGCAGGTGGGGAGACACAATTTGGTAGCGCAAAATGCGCGACACCACGTCGAGGGCCAAAGCTGTCACACCGCCCAGCGTCTGGCTCAGCTCAATGGTGAGTAAGAACGGCTGCAAGAGCGTCAAGCTGTCGACCGCGTGAATGTCCACGGTTTCCGCCAAAATCGCGCGCAACTGCAAGAAGCTGGCGTGGAGTGGCCCACCTGTCCCGGAGCCCATGGTTCCCGTGGCCCGCGTGTGTAGAGGCGGGGTCTGAAAGCCGGCCATAGGTGCCGGGGATGCCGAAACCAGCTGTGGCATTGTGGAGGCGTGGGGCGCCACAAGCGGCTCGTCGTCGCCGTAGAAGTCCGCAGCAGCAAACACTGCAGCCACCCCTGTGGACGGCCAGCGGCCCTGTTTGCGCATGGCCAGCGAGATCCGCATGCATTCCTCGATCATAAGCGCCACGGGGTCCACGGCATAGCAGGCAGTGACGTGGGCCAGGGCAAGAGACACGCGGCCCGCCGAAAAGGGCACGGCGTGCTGCGTGTGCACGTGATTAGTCAGCATCACAACAGCAATAGTTTTGTGGTGTTGTGTCGCTGTTGAATGGTGGTGGAAAGCGCTGTTGGCGGGAAGAAAGGTGTTGTTTGGCGCCCCGGTTTGATCGGTGGAGACTCGCGGCGGTGTACCGGGGCGCGCGCTTGCGCCAGCGGGGCCTGGGGCCGCCTGCTTCTGCGGGCAGTGAAATTCGCGCACCAAACGGAATTGCTTTTCGAAAAAGCGTAATCGGGTAGGGTATGCAAGTGTTTTGGCTGCAAAAACAGAGCAAAAACAAGAGGAGGAAGAGGGTGGGAATACCGATCTTATATAGTGCCCGTGGTTCTGTGTGCAGGTGTGAACGGTTTCGCATGTTGCTTGAGCCATGTTTTGGACCTGAGGGCGCGAGGCCCTGGATACTAGGCGCTAGAACTTCGTGATTTCACAGGCCACGGAAATGGGTGGGAATTTGGGTGAGATGGAAAAAGGGCGATATTTTTGTACAGCCATTAACGCGTTGAATACTACGTGGGAGCTGTGCAAAAGCGCTCATGATGTGCTCAGCTTATAGATAGGGGTTTTATTGTAAAGGCGTCAATTATCATAAAGTCAGGTAATAAACTAGGTGATTAGCGCGTGAGCCCAACTAGCAGGAGTAAGCTTTCTTTACTCTGATTATATAGCAAGCCTTGAGGGTAAAGGGGTGGGGAATCATTAATTAAAGGAATCTTGGAAATAAGTCAGGTGAATTGTTTAGAATTTGCGCCATGTTGGAATTGACGAATTTGGCCCAGCTATTGGGGACCGCCGGTGACAAAAAACGTGTTTTGCTTTAGTCAACTCGTTCGATCCGAAGCGGACTGTGTACTACGCCTCCTGTCGGGACTTGCTGCTTAATGGAAGGTCGGGGAGTCTTTTTGCTAAGAGTGGTATTCATTTTACTAATTGGTGTGTGTTCGCTGATTTCTTCCACATACGCGTAGTTATGAAAATCTTAGATATAGAGGAAATCATTTTGTTACGGAAAGCATTGTGCTGTTGCACACAAGAGTGTTTGATTTCTTGAGATAGTTTATTGAAACACTATCAAATCTCGCTCGGAGCGATGTCCAATTTAGCGCTGGTGCATGCTCTATTATAACATTGATGCTGACTGCCGAAATTATTGAGATTTAAAATCCAAACAAAAGCCCTTCGGAGTTCCAAAATTAAACCTATTATTCTAAAGATGAGTCATGCTTCTATTCTACACATGCGCGGGGTCCAAGTGAATGGTCTATCTTAATAGAGCAATGTGGTTTTTATCGAAATTAGTGGTACAGAATAAGCACTTTCATGTCCAATGTATCTCCCATGAAGCAAATTGTATACTAAGCAGGATGTTTATTTCCCTTTGCTTGACACATACTGGTCGAGCCGTTTCTGAAGCAGAATGAATATGTGAATCTTTTTTGATGCAATGTACGGGACCTGCGAAATATTGTACCCCGTCTGTTCCTGCTCGTCTCCAGAACGCATGTTTAAAGATCTTGTTTTCTTAGAATAGCCGAGCAAAGTAAAAAAATGGTGATTATTCGCTCGTCAGGCTCTGAAATTCTAGCCCCCTTAAAACTTGAGCTTCACGAGCACCTAAATTTACTCCGGATAAACTACGAACATTTGTATTATCAAAGGACAGGTATTACCAAAAGCCTTCACAATTTGTATAAGGACCAGCAATGCCAAGAATAAAACGAAGGGAAGTTCTGTGACAGCTATATGTTCCAGTGGATGGTCAAAATATAGCTCTTTTGATCTTTTGCTGAGCTCAACCAGACTCATGCAGCTTGCATGTGTTTAAAAGGCAAAAGTCATACAGATCTGAAAGTCATGTGGAGCTGTGCGCATCGCGAGACCTGCCGTGAATTGAATAAAATTGGTTGCAATGCCAGATCCTTTAACTGTGGACAGGAGTTTTTGATAGTTTCTAAATTGCGAAAAATACATCTAGACTTGGGTCCATTCGACCATCACAATTAAGACAGCTTCAGCCCTGTATGGTGTGAGACGACTCCAAGCTCATGAGCATTTGCCTCGAGATTCCTTTTTGAGATGTTTTTTTTCGATTCACGACACGTCACTATACTCTGTAGATTAGAGATCTGTGATAATCTTGCGGACCCAAAGAACCCTGATCATGAGGATTGTCTCACATACATTGGCAGATGTAATCGGTCTATTGATTTTTGAGTGTAGTGAGTTCTCGGCAGTAGAGTCATGCTGGATCAATTTATGCGTAGAAAATACCCAGTTTTATATAAATGGAGCGTCCACACCCAAAGCAAAATAAATCTGAAAGAGGAAAGTAGACTCAAAGCTGAACTCTCCCTGATTTGTAGCACATCTTTTTGTGCATATCCTGGAGCTACCAACCAAATAATCAATAGTGGGGCTTTTATGGTTTCGAATTGATGTGCGTTGCATTTTCTAAAAACCTCTCTTAAAAAAATGCCTCTTGGATAGCGATTTTATGAAAAAGACGATACTTGTAAAAGGCTGTTTGCTAAGATGGAACGTTTCAAGGATGGTGCGATTTAGAATTTTGTGAAGCTTCTTGAAAACCTCCTAGCAAATCAATTTATTCCACAAAAAAATAATATTACGCTAATGAAAAGCGCTTGAAGAAATCCGTTTAGCGAAGAAGACGTTTAGTGGAAAACACTTAGAGGTATTCGCTTCATCGACCAAGCCCCCTAGGAAAGGTGATTTAGAAGATTACTTGTATATACACGCTTTATTAGAACTACGATAAGTTTGACAACTAGTGAGTCAATCGGATATATAGAAACTATCTGCGAAGCCGGCGCTTCGGGAATTATACGCTTCTTCATAACAACTCTATGTGCTAGAAATCTCATGAAATGATGCAATTCTGGCACAATAAAAAGATTATCTGGAAGGAAGATTTAAGTGCTATCAGAAGAGGTGAAGAGATTTCACGTTGTCTAAACATATTGAGATTTGGATATGTACCTCAATGGAAACGATCACCTTTTCAAAGACAGTCAGGCATATGGCTTGGCCAAGTAAAGTGCCCTTCTAATCACCTCCATGAAAGACATTTATAAAGTTTTTAGGAATCGCTTCCATGAAAATTATATCCACCGAAAGACCTCTAAAAAGATTATGTATTGAAGCACATCCGCATGTCTACCTTCGGATTCTGCAATCAGGCCCTGCGAGATAGTTGGTCAAACACCAAATATGCTCTCAGACAGTGCAAGTGTACAGAAATACGTTGTAAACCATAATCTAATGGAATAGACATTCAACTAAAACATCTCATCACAATTTGAGAGGTACACATAGAATGCGTGAGAAAAGTCCGACTATAATATTTCCCTGTGGGAAATATACCCTGCAAAGGCCGAGCAGAAACAAACTTCTGTTGGGTAGCCAGCAACTTTAGGAACTGTCATGAGAATTGTCACAATGCTAATTTTGATCTTTAATGCTCTCATTCAAGTTTCGCAATGATACCAAAAGGCGTTTAGTCTATAAAAAAATGAAGTAGGCCATCGAAAACTCAGAGCTAACACCGCCTCTTATACAATTCCCCTGCGCCTGGGCGAGCTCCTCTGCCAGTAGGCAAACTATAGCGATGAGGTCGTTTTCAGTGTCCTCTCATGTAGCAAGTAAGGACGATCCAAGCTGGACAAAACAGACCCTGTTTCTTCGTCCCGTTTTATTCAGGAGTTTCTCATCATTTCCAAGATATAATTTGGGGGTTCTTTTACACAAACTAAATTTTGTATAGCCGGATTTTACCCAGGCTTCTTTTAACTTTTGTATAAAAACATGAAGTGAGATCCACCGTGGCAAAGCTGAATGGAAGTGTGTGCCTCGAAAAGATATAAACACGGTTGGCCATAAGAAAACGTGTCCTTCAACGGCGCCAGGTCTGGGCGCGTGCCCATGAAAACTTGGCGCAGGGCCTGTTTCCCAGGCCCAATGACACTGCACCAAAAGTCCCACATAGCCAACGACATGAAGTAAATACATGCCAAAATATAGAAGGAGATTACATACCCCTGTAGTATGAGGCTATGAGTGCGAAACTGAGAATAGCATCTGAACAGATCACACCTATAAGTAACACCAATATGAGTACCCGAAATTCAAGTGAGCCAAGATGGATTATACCAGTGTAGCAGCGAAGCCAGTAGGTCGATCGAAACATGCAAGCTTCAAGCAAACCCATATAAACCTACCAGGAAGGTACCGAGATACCTCATCAATTCGTTACCATACTACATCAAGTAAGAGAATATGAATCACGGCAGAATGTATGACTCAATATCGCTCCCCACTCTGAAACATGCCAATCCAGTACTTTCAATCTACCCCATGTATAATAGTTCGTATAAGTTTAAACCAGACCGATCTGATCCACAACAATCTTGTCACACAATTCTAGTTCAAACCGACTTGCGTCTTATCGAATCATCCCCTTTAAATTACACCAGCTCTATATACCAATTAAAGAACCCGATAGATTTCCCAGTACAACACCCACTCCGACTCATGCGAATCAAATATACACTAACAACACCCATACCACATCCATATCAGTTCAAATCACACCATAAAGCCAATTTAAATAATTGAAAATCAATAATACCCCTTTAGGTCATGTAATATCATATGTGCCAATCAAAGTATAACAAAGAAATCTTATCAAGTCAATCCACAACAAATATATGCATACATAAAATAATCCAATGCACAGCCACCATGTCACAATAGTTCACTCCATATCAACCTAATCCATTCCAGTTTACTCGAAACAAATTTAATCAACACCAGTTGAATCCATACCAATCTAGTCCACACCAATTTAATACCTATCTATTTAACCCATACCAACGCACGCCAAATAAAACACCCCAATATGTTCCATACCAAGATCATTCATACAGTCTACACCACACCAATCCACACCATACCATTCTTAGTACACCAGTCTAATTGGGATCAATCAAATCAGCTCGATTAAATTATACCTCTAAAGTCACTTCAATCAAAACACACCAGTTGAATTCTTGCCCATGTAGTCCATACCAATCGAGTCAATACCAATTTAGTCGATATAACTAAACACATTCATATTATCCGTCCAATTCAGATCGTTTGATATTATCCATCCCAACATCAGTCACATCGTTCAATTCACTTCAAATAACACCAGTTCATGACTTGCAAGTCATCAGACTGATTTAGCTCATACGGACTTGAGTCTTACCGAAAATTTTTACACTATTCGGATCCACACTATACCCCTGGAGACTCAGACCTTCCCGAGATTTCACCCTCTTTAGATCATACCAATTAAATATAGTATGCAATACAACATGCCCGAAAAGCACCCACCTTAATGCATACAAACAAAGTGAGCTATAAAAATTCAAATCCAGTATTACCCAACGCTATGCAATTCAATTTCAAATGAACCGCTCAAAGCACATTAAAATCATGATTCAAACAAATTACCATATGCATATACCAGCTGGGTGGTACCAATGGAGCCACACCGATCTATTCCACACCACATCACCCATCCCGACTGAATCATACCAAGCAAAGATAACCAAATAAATCCAAGTCAAACATGTCTTTGACATACGACCTGATCAGCAATAAAGAACAATAAACACCAACACCAATAAGCCACATCAACAAATGAGCAATGTCACCAGTCAGTCACCAAAGATTACTAGCAAAACGTCAATAGACCACACCAACAAGCCGCCAATTGAGTCGTATCAATTTGATGCATTTCCACACGCCAGTTGGATGCATCACAATTTGATACCTACCCACCATCTACCCCAACATCCTCCATATCAAATCATCACACCAATCAAAAAATCAACAATAGGCCCACAAATCAATTCCGCCAACAAAGCCCCACCAAGAACGCACCAAGAAACCACACCAAGAAGTCACCATCCACGAACAAACCACTCCAGAAACCGCCAAAAAATCAATAAATTTTTTTAATCACGTACTAATCACCAAACAACCAAAAAAAACTAAACACCAAAGAAACCACCCCAATAAGCTCCAGCCATGAATCACTGATTAATCAGAAACAAACCACACTAACAAGTCACCAACAAGTCACCAATAAGCCGTACCCATAAATCATCAATGAACCAATAAACCCCACCAACAAATCAATAAATCACCATCAAGTCGCACCAATAAACCCCACCAGTTAGACCACACGAAAGATTCACCAATAAAAAAAACCACACCAATGCATTGCCCGCAAACAACAACAAGCCCCACCGAAAAACAATTCTCCAATGAACCAATAAACCCCACCAACAAA